GGCTATTGCCAACATCTCTAAAACTTCCCCAGGGCACTGACTGTTTTAGTCTCTGATCTTTGTATTCTCCTTCAACACTGACCATGACCATCCTGGGTCCTGTTTTGCAGGTCTGGGTAAGACTCCCTATGCCCTGCTTTGGTACAGCCCTGTAGGTACTGATTTGAACTGAATGGGCTTGTACTTTCCCAGGCCTGTGTAATCATGGAAATGGGCCAAAAAGAGAAGACTGCAGGCAAAATTATTTTACTGTATACTGTATGTTCAGAAAATACAGAATTGCATTACAGCCCAGTTTCCCCACAGGATTAAATGAATAAAATAAGAGAAAAATGATACAGCTATGACAGGATTATAGATGCAGAAGAAACATTGATTCAGAAGCTATTTCTTATTCTTCATATTATTTAACCTCCAATAATCCCATTGTGTAAATTTTATTAATTCCATTTTAGAGATGGAGAAAGTGTAGTTCAGAGAAGATAAAAAATATGTACAAATTTATGAATTAGTAAGATTGATAACTATGGTTTGAATTTAGCTCTTTAAGGAGCTCAGAAGACTTTTTGTCAGGGCATGAAGAACTAAAACCTGGTCCTTGGCAAAATTTATCAATTTAAATACTTAATAAAAGATATAACTTACTTGCTCACCACTCCATTGTTGCTGCATAGAGATTTCTACCCATAAAACTAAAGATACTAATAAAATTTACATTTAGCATCCTTTAGTTCTTCCCATTGATTTGTTTCTATTGTACTTATTGGTCATGTGCTCAAAATTAACCTTTTCACAATTTAATTGCCTTCCTTGTGGCCAGGGAACAGCTGCTTTATAAAATTTCATCAGTGATTTTTGCTGTTTATTTAAAAAAAAATCAGGGAAGCGTATGGGTCAGGGAAGGTCCCCAATTAGTTGCTAATGAGCAATTTGAAGAGTGAGTCAATATCTTAGCCTTTATCGAATCTTCAGCATGTGGTATAATAGATTGTAACCCATTTTCATTATATGTTAATTCTCTTAGGCTTGCCTATTTATTTCTATTCAAAAGCACCAAAGGAATATTTATTGCCATATTCAATGTATTACTTGATTAAGATTATGTAAACACAAGGGCTATAAATGAACTGTAAATAGGTGATGAACCTTTATAGAGTATTGACTTACAGCCTCTTAATTCAATTTGAGGTCATATAATGTTAATAACATAAAAGCCAGTGATCACTATCCATACAACTATGATAGACTTTGGTTTTTGAAATGGTGTTTTGCTAGATTGCCCAGGTTGGTCTCAAACTCCCGGGCTCAAGCAATCCTTCTGCCTCAGCCTCTCAAGTAGTTGGGATTATAGGAGCATGCCACTGCACCCAGCTGGCATTTTTTTTTTTTCTGAATATTACTAGGCTAAATAAATCTAGTTGGATTTATGGTTATAAGCAACAAAATCTGAACAAAAAACAATATTCTGTCTATATGTATATTTTCTTAGACATTAGAATATGTATACTATATATAGAATAATATATTCTGCTCTATAATATATGTGGTAAATAGACAATCTAGAAAAAGGCTAAGTATACATCATGTGAAAATTAGAAATTCTGCTACAATATGGCAAACATTTAGAAAATTTTCACTCTTCATTTGAATGTGTTTATACTATGTTTGTTTACTTAGATAATGTGGTATGTTTGTACAGGTTGGCATGATTTTGATGATATGTATTCTCAAAATCCCACATTCTAGTTCCAAATGGTAGAAGCATTCCAAAAATCCACTTAGGTTCTATTTTTAATAATTGTGAAGTGGCTTTTATTGGCACAAAGCTTGCACAGATAACAGGGCATGAAGAACTAAAACCTGGTCCTATTTATAGAAAACAGCTATCAATTCTGGAGTGTGTTTGTGTGTGTGTGTTTGTGTGTCTGTGTGTATTTATACACCAAGTAGCTGGAGAGCACCCAAGGATAGGTAAGCCAGGAGGGACGTGTGTGCTTAGAAGAAGGAAAAGACACTGGATGATCCCCAGACTGCACAATGTGGGGTGGCTAAAATTAAAATAGAAACTCATAGTTTTAATGGCTTGAAGAACCAGAAAACAAAACTAAAAACTGCCACAGCAGCTGTGAAGTAGGGGGAGAAATACTGGAATGGAAAGAGCCATAGAAAGGGAGCCTCAAATCTGTGCATAAACTCTGCCAAAATCACTCACTGATGCCAGACCCACATATAACCTAGGCAGATTCCAAGTACCCCAGCTAGAACTTAAAGAACTGAACAGAGATTACAGCTTCTGCACTCCACAGGGAAGACAAGAACTTGGAGTTTGAGTCTAGCCAAGTTAAACAACTGATGCAATAACAACAAAATAAGATGGATTCGTATTCTTCAGAGGAACATAACAAAATCTAGAGTTTCTACCATTAGCTTCACAACATCCAGGATATGATTTCTTAAAAAAAAATACTAGACATATAAAGAAACAAGAAAATGTAATCCATGCTTAAGAGAAAAATTAATCAATGGAGACAAACACTGAGATAAACCAAGTGTTGGAATAAACAAACAAATATTTTAAAGCAGCTTTTTAACTATGCTCAAGCACACACACACACACATATACAAATGTTTGTAACAAAAAGACAATTAGTAAATCTCATCAGAGAAATAACAACTACAAAAATACTAAGCATAAGTAAATTCTAGAACTCAAAAAAACAATACAGTATCTGGAATAAAAAAAAAAATCTACTGCATGTGATTAACAGAAAATGGGATATGGCCAAAGAAAGTATAAGTAAACTTCAAGATAAATCAATAGACTGTTTTTCTCTCTTAAATTCTTTAAAATGCATACGAATACTTCAAACAAAAATTGTATCGTTGCTTTAGGAAGGTTACAGTATTTGTCAGTATAATACATATGCTATTAAGATTATTAAGTATGAAATGTCCAATTTCCTTAAGTACTAAGTTTGACAGTATCTGTGACACTTCATTTTGACACTTTTTGTTTTATTTTTATTGTAAATGTACATCCTAATTCTTTCAAATGCACACTTTGACTTGTGATTATCTTTCAAATTTTTAGAACAATTTTTGTACAATTTTTGTACAGATAAGTCAAAAATTCATATTATTTTCAAATATGAGTTCCATCATAAAACCAATACAACACATAAAGCTCAAAATATCAACAAAGTATTTGGAAAGGTTGTGGCTAGTGAATACACAGTATATTGATGGTTTAAAAAGTTCCATTTTGGTAATTTTAATCTTAAAAATGAGCCACGTGGATGACCTGAGACCAAGATGGATAATGATACACTAAAAACTGTACTGGAAGTGAATTTATCTCAACCTATGCATAAATTAACAAGAAGGTTTGGTGTTACTATTCCAACAAAATTAGATGATTTAAAACAAATCAACAAGGTAAAGAAATGGGATAGATGGCTACTACATAAATTAAACAAACATCGAAAGAAAAATCATCTCGAAGCTTGCCTTTCTTTACTGTCACGACATAAAAATGAACAATTTCTACGCTGTATTGTTACACATGATAAAAAAACAGATTCTTTTTGACAATCACAAGCATTCGGCACAATGACTGGATAAAGATAAAGTGCTAAAACACAGTTCAAAACCAAATATTCATCAAGAAAAGCTAATGGTGTCTGTTTGGTGGTCCAGTGCTAGTATTATATACTACAGCTTCATAAAACCTAGTCAATCAATTACAGCAGAAGTCTACTGAAACCAATTGGATAAAATGATGAGGATGCTTGTGATTAAGCAGCTAAGATTGGTCAATAGAGACAGGCCAATCCTCTTGCAAGACAACACTCGACCACATGTCGCACAAACACTGCTCAAAGTACAGAAACTGGACTTAGAAACTGTGTCATCCACTGTATTCACCAGACCTTACACCAACTGACTACCACTTCTTCCAGGCTTTGGACCACTTCTTGCAAGGAAAAATATTCAATTCTCAACAAGCTGTGGAAAATGCCTTTTGTGATTTCATCGCCACTTGCTCTCCAGGCTTCTTTGCTGCTGGCATAAACAAGCTACCATTAAGATGGCAAAACTGTGTCAATAATTTAGGCGTATACTTTGATTAATTGTACTGCTTCTTGTTTGAGACATAATAAACTAAACTTTTGATTCAAAATTGGACATTTCATATTTAATGACCTAATAATGATAACAAAGGAATGGTGGTGAGGGATCATGGTAAATGGATCAATATATTTGTAAGGTTCTTATGCTTTACATTAAGTGGTGTGATATTAAAAAGATTGACAACATCAAATATTAAAAAGCTTGTGGAGCAAGTGAAACTCTACTACATTGCTGTTGGGAGTGTAAATTAGTACAACCACTTTAGAAAACCACTTTAGAAAATCTTTACCAATAGTTTCCAGCCTCGTTAAATAACAGTAAACATCTACAAAAAAAAAACTGTACAAAAATAGCCAAAACCAGAAATAGCTCAGGTTTCCATCAATTGGAGAATTCATACAGAAACTGTATAAATACAATGGAATAATATTTAACATTAACAAAAATCAAACTATTGATATATGCAATAACATAGATGATTTCAAAAAGCATTATGCCAAATAAAAAAGAGCACAAAAGAGCATATACTCTCTTATTCATTTGTATGACCTTCTTTGATCAGACAGGCCTAATCTTTTTGCAAAATAAAACAAGCAAAAATGGTTGCTTTCATAGATTTGGGGACAGAGGCTGACTTGGAAGAGGCTTAAAGAAAATTTCTGTGATGATGATAATATTCCTGATAGCACTTTGTATTACAATAGTGTATGCATTTGTTAATTAAATGTTATATTCAATGAGTGAATGTTACACTGAGCAGTGATTTATGCATTTCATTGTACATAAATTTTACCTTAAAAAGAATACATCGATATTGAACTCTAGTTGATGATATTCATGATAACCTGCATAGGGATGAAGTTTACAATGTATCAAAAAATAAGATGGATTTATGGATAGATACGTGATAAAGCAAACATAGCAATATATTAATTTTAGAATGTAGATTTTGAATGTGTA